AAAGGGAAAAAAAAAAAAAAAAAAAAAGCCCGCCATATGACTGTAATACCAATGTTAAATGTCCCATTTGACGGAGCGCGTGGCTGGCTGTGACGCAGCTTCGGTTCATTTCAGCCTGCGATCATTCAGCGCATATAAACAGCTGATGCTGCTGCGTGGAGGCTGTGAAGCAGGGGAATGAGCTCTGCTTATGGCCTAGCGTGTTTTTCGCATAATTCCTACTTTTATCTCCCGAGACATCCCCACCTTCCGTTGGCAAATTAATTTTAGTAATGCAAAAGCCTCGACAATACAGAATCTCTGTTTGTTTAAATAACTGTAAGACCAGATTGGCGCAGGAAGACGTTCTGTTATTCTCTTTATCCAGCTTATTCATTGCATTTGAGGTAACAGATTCGCACCTGACCAATCAAGACAATGACAGTTTGCCAGCAGCATGTCTGTGAAGGACCATCTGCATGTGGGACTGTGAGGCTGCTTAACATGAGGGTCAATCAGGTTTAATCAGAATGTCATAATTGGATTTTGCTTTGAAACCTCAGACTTTGGCTGGTGAGGTCTGCAGGACATCTCCAGACTTTTAGTCCAGTTAAACCCCACGCCTGCAGGCTAATGTTCATCCGTCTCCACTTTTAAGGTTCTCAAAATCCAGTAAACATCTGATGGATAGAACTAAGTCCCTGCCCTACAATACATATTTTCTCTTTTGATAATACGTTACACTCGTATGTCTTGGAAATTGAGTCTTTGTGTTCATGATGGTTAAAAAACATGTCTACAAAATGTTTTAATGATTAAAAATGTCAAGTGGTGCACTAAGATTCTTTCATTGCATCTTAAATACATGGGTGAGCATTCATTACTTTTCAAAAGTAATGAGGTTTCTAACTAAGTTTTCAAGGAAAATATAATAAAAAATATATATATTAATAATATTTTTATTAACAAAATTGTCTGTTTAAAAAAAAATAAAAAAAATAATGCCAAAACTTATTATGCCAACAATTTTATTTGGATCAAACACATGAGCATCATGTCATTGACCCATGACCATTTGTTCTTTTATGTGTGTATATCAATATAATGATGTAGAAAATGCTTTGGTTGCTGTCCAACAGTAGTTTGTGATAAATTAGTTATTGTGAAGAAATAATAATAGTAATGTACTCCAATACTTGCTTTCGGAAAGTAAAAGCTAAAAAAATCATATGAATCTGTGTGCATAACTTCAACCTACTTGACTTTTACTGAGCAGAATTCCAGATTTACCGATTACTTTGGGTTCATTTAATCAAGTCTTGCACTTGCACTGCTCCATTTTGCTAATTTACTCACTAAGATATCTTGCCTTTTATTGATGGTTTTGTGCTTAACCAGTCTGTCTTGGTTATAGCTTTGTGGTTATAGCTTTTTGTCGTATCAATAGTGTCAGTTGGCCTTATTGATCTAATTATTTGGCTGTATATCAATGCCCCATCCATGTAATTTAGATCAGAATCTTTCAGGAAACGGTAGAAAAGATGAAATCTCTTTAGGTGCAAGTTGAGATGAAATTACTGGTTACAAACAAAGCTTGGCATTTCCGGATTCTTCAGACACCCTGAAAAGCGCTGTTTTAGATTAGCGCTTCACTCAAATTGAGTTAAACAACAAAAAGTGCTGTGTGTGGTGTTAAACACTGGTGCATATCACACATCTGCTGGTTGTTTTTATTTATCACTTTTATATGACATTTCTCAGGTTTTAGAAGTGTTGTGTTCTACATTCTTTGGTGTGCATTCAACAACCTGTAACATCTGACTGATTCAAGTTAAAACTGATTTTGGCAGTTGTTCAAAAAGACACCAATTCATATTTCTTAACTTTAAACATAAGTATAACTTTATAAATCACTTTAGAATTCATTTCTGAACATATAATTAAGTCTAAAGTCTGCTACATATCATTTTCATCTATAGATTTGTTTGACTGAATTTTTTGAACATCCTGCGAGCCTTATTAATGGAAGAATTATTTTTAAGTAGATTATATAAAACAAGAGCAAAAGACATTATTAAATTGACCTCACATTAAGTGCTCTTCTCCAGCTCTGTGGAGAGAAAGAATAAGAGCACTCCTGAATAATGACTGCAGCAGATTAGCAAAGGTCCTCCCGAGTCCTCCGACATCCTCATCCGCCAGTATTTATTCACAAATTTCTCATTTCCTCTTCTTAGGTTTTAGTTAGACCACAGTGTCTTCTCAGTTTCTGTTTGCGGCTGCAGCATTGGTGGCTGACTGCAGAGAAATCGTTCATTATTCACGTCTCTTTCTGCAACATACAACTCTTACATACAAACAAAACCTCATGGAGATGCTGAAGTTCTCAGTTACTTTTGAATCCATAAGAGCCGTGATTATCTTGTACTGGGGTGGTGGCATATTCCGTATTGTTTGAAGTTACTAAGTTTAAAGGGTTAGTTCACCCAAAAATGCTGTCATTAATTACTCACCCTCATGTCGTTTCAAACCCGTAAGACTTTCGTTCATCTTCGGAACACAAATTAAGATATTTTTGATGGAATCTGAGAGCTGTCTGACCCTGCATAGACAGCAACGCAACTGAAATGTTCCCAAGTCCAGAAACGTAACAAGGAGATCTGTAATCTGTAATAATCCTTGTGACATCAGTGGTTCATCCGCAATTTTACGAAGCTACGAGAATACTTTTTGTGCGCAAAAGAAAAAAAATAATGACTTTTTTCAACAATTCGTCATCTCCGCATCACCCTGGTGCCATTTTGGAGAATATCAGCTGGACGTAAACAGCGTATGCTGTTCTGTGTCAGCTGTGTCACGCCGGATCTGTTTCCTACATTGTTTGCGCTTTGATTTGAATGATAACAACATATCCGCGTGACGCAGCTTTTTTCGGGTCTTTTTTCTTTTGCGCACAAAAAGTATTCTCGTAGCTTCGTATAATTGCGAATGAACCACTGATGTCACATGGATTATTTTACAGATCACCTTGCTACGTTTCTGGACCTGGGAACATTTCAGTTGTATTGCTGTCTATGCCGGGTCAGACAGCTCTCAGATTCCATCAAAAATATCTTAATTTGTGTTCCGAAGATTGAACGAAGGTCTTACGGGTTTGAAACGTCATGAGGGTGAGTAATTAATGACAGAATTTTCAGTTTTGGGTGAACTAACCCTTTAAATGCATATTCAAAGGATATTCATAACTATTGTTTTGAATATAACCGTGCAGCACATTGCATTACATGGGAGCATGTGCTTAGTTATTTTTGTGGTGCATCACAGTCTTTGCATGCAAGTGCTGATAGAGCAAACCAAAGCCATGTTAAGAATTTGCTCTTTGCAGCCAAAAGAAGATTCATGAAAAACAATATTAGAAGGGCTTTGTAAACAACTTATTTTGAATGAGTCTTGTTGTAGGGGACTTGTGATGGGAGCTCACAGATTTCCTTTGCTTCAGGGTAACATTAGCACCGATTAGTGAAATTGAAAGTGTTGCTTGGAAAGGGCTGGATTTCACCTTCAGGGATTCTTCTCTGATTACTTGAAGAGAAAATATCCGTCAGTTGTAAACTCTTTCAGGGGACGTTAGAAACTTTGGATGATGCCAGTTTGTGTTTGCAGTAGATATCTATCTTTTCACGGGAAGAATTTAAAAATCCAGTGCCTGGAGTTCTCTTGCACCTTTTTGTAATATAAGTTGCAGTTTGAGGTTTGTAAGATATTTTTTATTGTTTTAGAAAGTCTCTTATGCTCACCAAGGCTGCATTTATTTGAAAAAATACAGTACAAACAGTAATATTGTGAAATACTAATGTTTTCCATTTTAATATATCTTAAAATGTGATGGCAAAACTGAATTTTCAGCATCGTTACTCCAGTCTTCAGTGTCACATGATCCTTCAGAAATCATTCTGTTATGCTAATTTGGTACTCGAAACATTTCTCATTATCAATACATTTTTTTTGTCATGATTCTTGATGAATAGAAAGTTACAATTTATTCGAACAGCATTTATGTGAAACAGAAATATTTTGTAACATTAGAAATGCCTTTATTGTCACTAATCAATTTAAAGCATCCTTGGTGGATAAAAGTATTAATTTCTTTAAAAAAATGCTGACCCCATTTTTAAATGGTGTGTACAACCTTAATTTTTTCCCACCAGGAGTCCATCTCTGTTACCATAAGCAGTCACATTGTTCTTTTTCTAACCATTCAGAATGATACTGCCATGAAAATGTGGGCTTATTTGGCTTTTCCATATTGTTCATTAAACTGATGGGAATTACGACAATAAATCTGAGAATAGTTCATTTTAAATATATGTACATTATGCATTGAAGGCTTGTGGCGGATGTTTAGATATTGCTCCGTGGCACGCTGAGAATGATTGATGCTGCGCGTCTGTGTTAGTCTGGCCTCAACAGGAGAGCCCCTCCTTCCCAGACCTGCTCAGGAATGAAATGATTATCTCAAGGGTGCTCCCCTCATTTGTATGGAAAAGTTGTATTTGGTGTGGCAGCTTCGGGACATCCCCAGATAGTGCTGCAGCGATAGGCTTACAGATGCTTGACTGCGACAGTGACGCAGTGGAATTGTGTCTCCTGTCACTCAAGGGAAGCAAAAGGAACAGAGAGTCTGTGCTGCTGCCA